CAGCTGCCAGTGCATCCCTTTACCATGCCATTGTCCTCCCCTTCTCTGGGCCCTTGTCAGCCCACAGAGAATCCATCAGACAGCTGGGGCAAGCACCCACCTCAGCCCTTTACTCATTTTCCCATCAAAACCAAGAGGACCAGCTTGGTAACCAGAGAGGCCAAGTTTCCCAGTCCACACTGGTTTTCCATGCAATCTGCCCTGCCATTTCTCACAGGGAGGGAGGTCCCATGTCCAGCCCATTTGGAACAGCTCATCTCTCACGAGGTGCTTGGTGGTGCAGCCCCCAGGTGCCCCTCTGGCAGTGGGGCAGCTCCCCATGGCTTCCATCAGGCAGACCCTGCTGGGGATGCAGGACCTGCTGTCCCCAGAGTGGGCCAGCCCTGCCAGTCCCTCAGCATGGATGTGCTCTCTGCTCAGTGCTGGGCCAGCTGTGAGCCCTCCAGAGCAGGGAGCAGCAGCTTCCCACTGCTCTGCTCATCCCTGCACAGCTCCAACTCCGCTCTTAGGACCCTCCACAGCCCTGCCTGACAAAGAATCCCAGCTCTTGGCAGGCCCTTGTTATTTCAGCTAAGGCTCATCAACCATCCTTCTGTCACTAAATGCCTTATTATGTGCAATTAATGGGCTGGCTGAGAGCAGCTACAAAGTCATTCTCCCCGTGAACCCAGGGAGGCAGCTGGGTTGTCCTGGTGGCTTTCTGAGGCTGCCAGCCCCACTGCTAAATGCAAGGGGACACAGGGAGGCAGGATGAAGCTGTACTGCCTTTCAAACACCCTCAGGCAGCGTGGCAAAGGGCTCTCTGCCCCTTTGAGGGGCACTCACAGGCTGGTCACCATCCACAATGGCTCAGGGCTGGCTCCAGCCCTGCCCCTCGCTGATGGCTCTTTACTGCCGCCTTTAACTTTGTTCATTATTATTAATAATACAACAAGAGGAAAGGGAGATAAGAGCAAACTGACAGCGTAGGCTGAAACAGCTATTTTGACTGTAGCCAAACTGCACTCAGATGTGCAAAGCAAGAGAATAATTTCCACTCTCTGATCTCTCAAAGATCATCCTCTTAGATGTCACGATTACATTTGAAAACAGCCTGATGGTACTTGAAGTCGGTTTCCCTTGACAATTAACCTATATGTGCACACCCTTCATGACTCCTTGCTGCAATAGCAGATGTGTGTTTTGAATCACTACTACAGCCCCCACATGCAAGGCTGAAAGCAAAAACCAGGGAGCAGAGGGTTCCTAAGCCAGGCCCAGACTAAAGGACACTGGTCTCATCGGAGCGTGGCACTGAATTAATCTGCCTTTCTGCCTTTAGTAATGCCTTGTTACCAAAATAAGAGTTACAGCTGGCATTTATGCAATCAGTTCTTCCACTGTGCTAAGGCAGTTCCTAAGGACTGAGTGATAAGGAATTTGATGTAGCTTATTTAAAACAAAAAGGCAAAAATCAGCATTTCACAAATTTCACATCCCTCTGCCTTATTTGCTCTATGCAGAAACTAGAGTGCCCTTTTCCCAAAGGATATCTGATTTTTTAAGGGTTTTTTGAGGATGGGAAGTAAAAAAGAAGTAGATACTTAAATTCTGGGGCCAAATTCATCACTGAGTGAAATGGGCCTAAGCCATTTCAAGGAAAGGGCGAGGCAATTGCTTGGATTAATCCTAATGACCCAAGGCAGAGCTCATGGACAAACCCTTGCAGGGTTTTCAGCTCTCCAGCCAACGCAGCCTAAGCAGCTGTTACACTTTGGAAAGCAAAATGAAACCCCAAGGATTTGCCTTAAAACAAATTACATCCATCCTAAGAGTAAAACACCCTACTTTGAATACTAAGACAGGGCTGACCAGCCCATCATGGTTACAGCTCTGAGGGACACAATCAGGTCTTCTCTGCTCTGCTAAGCTCAGAGGAAAGACTAAAAAGTGAGGAAAGAATAAAAACTAAGGAAAGCCCCTTCTAAAAACCCTTAGTGAAGCCTGACAGGAGTTAGGATGGCAAAGATGGGCTCTTAGAGTAAAAGTTTTCTTGCAGCTGTCTGCCTGCAAGGTGGTTTTATAACCACAGCCCTCCTCTCCCCCCTCCACCTGCAGTTTACCTTTCCTTATCAGAGAGGACTTTTCACAGCACCAGCTGAAAGAGCAGCAGAGGGGCTCTCTGCACATGTCACCCAAAGGAAAAACATCAGATGCTGTTTTCCACTTCAGCCACGATCTCTTTTTAATCCCATGCAAGCTGGGAGCATCTTCAAGGCTTTGTTGTTCCTTTAGCAGAGGGGGAAGAGCTAAAGTTTGAATATGAACACTAAAAACATTTCTTTGAACCGGCGAGATTTACCGATGCGCACATGGCTCCCAGTACAGACACACACTTGGAAAAAAAAATAGAAAGAAAGAAAACACATCTATTCCCCCACTGGTTTCTGTCACCATTTGATTCCACTGCACTGCAGTTTTACCAGGGAAATTATTGGGGGAAAGGGAGTTAGACAACATTTCCCTGACAGCAGCTTGTCAACTGGCTCTTTGAGTGTCGGGGAAAAGAGCTGCATCTCACATCTTTAAAGTGCCACTCTGTCACACCAGCAAGGGAAGACACACATCAGGCTTCCCTGGGGCCACGTGCTCGTCCCCCCTTCTCCCCCAGCAGAGCTGCTGCCAGCACACATGGCGCACCCATGGCACACCCATGGCCTGTGTCCCACCAGCCCTGGCCCAGAGCTCACCACCATCCATGTCCAGGGCTGCTGCACCTCTTCAAGGGATGGAGGAGCAGGCAATGATCCTTAGGACTATAATCATTTACAAGTTTTGCCTTCCTGAGGGGATTGACCCTGCCTGGCACAGAGGGAAGATCAGAGTAGATCCCCTGACATCCCACCTCCACCTGACAGCACACAGCATAATGTGTAAGGGGAGAACAGGAATGTTTTTGTTGGGAACAACAGCTTGAGGTTCCCTCACTGTGAGAGGCACTCGATCCCTGAGAGCCTCTGGGACCACTCAGCACAGCCCTTTTCATGCCAGGTCACAGACAGGAGCCTCCATCCATCTCATCTGGAGCTCCAGCCTGCAATTCTCTGAGCTGGTAGCTCCAGGGAGACCGAGTTGTTCAAACCCTGGGCTGACACTGTGCAATCCCCCCAGCATTGATTCCATCCCACATTATCTGAAAAGGGCTGTGGCTCTTCCAGCAGACACTGATATTACCAGGGCACAACAAACCCTCTGCTGCTGAGCCATTGCCCTTGAGCCCAAGTCCCCCCAGATAGCTCCATTTCAGAAAGAAACACCTTCTGCACTCCAAATAACCTCATTCCTCAAGCCTCTGCTCTCTAAAGATGAAATACCCCAAGACAAGAGCGGGCATTTCTGGAAGTGCAGGTTTCACACCAGGAGAGGAAAGGATGCAGCTCACAGCTGCCATCAGGTTATCTCCCATGATGTTTCCCTGGCAACCACAAAGCTCACTGTCTGGGTGACATTTGCAAAGTGTAATAGTTTTTGAAAGCCAAAATATACATATTTTGTCAGTTAGTGTTGTGTTTCCCTTGAGACAGGCCGAAGGATCAAACGGAAATTCCATGGAGAGCTGATTAGTCTCCATGTAAATAGGGCAGACAAGCAACTCAACAGCACACCCCAGCACCTGGGGCTGGCAGGCACTGTGCTCCACACTGCTCACACACATACTGCCACCACTTACTGAGGACCTCCAGGTACCACTTAAAAAGTGCAATTAAGGGGAACAAAATACATCCAGGATGTGCTTGGGAACTATACAAACACCAGGCTAGAAAGCCAGGAAGAGAGCAAGATGCAGTGGGGGAGAAAGGAGGGGAAGAGGAGACATGCCTGCAGCAATGGAGTGAGGGAGCAGCAGTTCCTTGGTTAGGACTGTAGGTTTCTTCATCTCCTCCCACCCTGCAGTCAGTTCAACCAGTTAATGTCTTGTTTTTACCAAAACAGTTTAGTCCTCACCCCCAGTGCTCCTGTAGAACCACACCAGAAAGCTCAGCAAGGCGCTTGCACACAGCCTTTACCTTGCCCTGCTCAATCACACCTTGATTGGTTACAGCTGTTGTGGGAGGGGGCCCAAGGAGGGCACAAGCCCAATCTACTCAGGTTCCCATTCCTTCCCTTTGCTGCAAGGAATTCACTAAGTTATAGGAAAGACATTTCTTTTCTTTTTCCTTCCTTCTCCTAGTCCTTCTGCTGGGATCATGTGGAAGTCAGCAGCTCCAAATGGTTTCTCTCTTGTTTATACAGGCACTAAGAGCAACCATGCTCTGGGTCTTCTGCATCAAGGCTAGGTCAGTTTTTCTTCACATGACCATTTCTCTCTGGTTTTATGCCCCATATCCCACTGGAGCCGCTGCCCTTTGAAATGATTTTGCAGTGCAAAGTTTCCCATCTATTTCTGAAGAGCGGCAGGTGTGTGCAGAATCACCCTCCAGGTGATGCTGCCCACAGCTTAATAACAGGGTTACTCATTTCTCCTCAGAGGAGCTGCTGAGGTGTGAGCTGTAGCTTTCAATACAAGAAGGCTTTGTGAAAACAAACTTCTGGTGGTGGTTACATCAAGGGCAAGAAACTCAAAGCTCTCCTCCAGCGTGGGCAGGAGTTGGCTGCAGCAACCCAAACATCTGAGCATGTGTTTCTTTCCCCTCCCTCCCTGCCCTTCTTGCCTGGCTCTTTTTTGTTCTGGAGGCTCCGTGAACAGGAGCTCCCAAATGCCCAACAGCCTGATCGGGTGCTGTTCTGCCCCACAAACACTTGCCTCTGGGAGGATAAACAAGCACACATCTGGCTCCACGCTTGAAGCTGCTGTCTGTGGTTGTGCTGGGTGAGGGCTTGGGCTGGGAGATGCTGAGGATGTGCAGATAAGGAATGGATGCTGAGGATGTGCAGATAAAGAATGCTGTGCTTGCCTGGCTCCTTGGCTTTAAGAAACTGCTCCACAGCAAAGTGCAGACCACCCTCCTCCCCAGCAATACCTTGGGGTTGAATTGCAGAGTTACAGACGTGATTCCAGGGCTGTGCAGCTCCAGGTGCTTGCGACAGGAAAAGGAGAAGCAGATGGCGCTGGCTCCCTCCTTGGGCATGTGGCTCAGGTGCCAGCCACTCATTCTGGAAAGCACAGCAGTGCCTCTGGAGATGGGAGCTGCCCAGGTGCATGGGAGAGGCTGTGTGGCCCCTTTAAGGCAGTTTTGCTGCTGTGGAAATATTTCTAGGGAGGCTCATCACCATGGTATCTGAGCACTACTGACTAATGGGGTGGATGGAATGTGCCTGCTTGTATTTGTTATTAATTTCTGTAAGGGTGCCTTTCCTGACATTTCCTTTTTGTTCTCTGCTTCCATGTGGATGCAGTGATTGGGTGTGCAGAACCTTTCACAGAGGTGTCCCTTGAAGGCACCATGGAAGAGAAGAGTGTTGGGAGTGGGGATAATTAAAGGAATCCTGTCAGCCAGTTCTATCCCCTAGGTTTCCAGGTGGTTTAAAAAGGGAAGGCAGAGATGTCATTATAGCCATCAGGAGTTAAACTGTTTTCACCATTTAAAAATAGGAATTCAATGAAATGGGGTAAGTCACCATTTCTCTCCACTTCTGGGATGAAAGAAAGTGGCATTGCAAAGGCATTGACCACTTGGACCAAAAAAAGCATGGATGGGAATCAGCAGTGGTATCAGCCAGGATGATGGATGCTTTCAAAGTCTATTGCTTCAACATGCTAGGATTTTTTTTGTTACTTTTTTAGCTAAAAAAAAAATAAATTATATTGGCAGTAGTCCTGGAGAAATAAATCCTGATGAAAAACCAGAGTCAAAACTATGACTTTTCTTTGAATAGACAATTTTGCTGGCATTAACTGTACAGAGCTGAATACTTTTGTTAGCCCCTTGGCCAGATCTGGCCAGCTGGCAGCTCCCTTTTGCCAAGGAAGCCTTTTGTGAAGACCAAAAAAGCACATTGCAAAAAGGAAGTGGTGTAGAGCAAATCCTTGCTCCAAGATCACAGTCACTGAGAAGTATTTTATGGTTTTGGCCTTTCCACAAAAGGATGCTAGAAAAGCCTCTGATAGGCATCTGTGTGTACTCTGGGCTATTTTGTGTGATGCTCCCTGAGGGCTGTTCCACTGAGGGCCTGGAGCAAAGCATCCCAGCTATGTCCAGGTTCTGGTCTTTCCAGCTTTTCCCAAGCACATCCACATTGCCCTTTCAGGATTGCCATGGCCCTGACTCAGCCACACCACACACATTTCTGGGTGTCAGCTGTGCTCCTATCAAGAAGCAATGGAGTCTGAAATGGATTTGCCCCACAATTTTGACACATTCTCTCTGCAGTAGGATGGAGGAGACAACAGAAAGGTAAATACCTGCTGCTCTGAGCTTGCTTGGAGGCTGCAGGGCTGAGCACAAACCTCATGCTGCTCCTGGTGAGTGATGTAGGGATGAGGCAGCTTCTTTCCAGGGTGCCTGCCCTCTGCCTTGCCCAGCCTCAGCAGGTCTCACAGGTCTCCACTGCTAACAGGGCCCCACATTTTGCAGGCCTCACTCTCTTTGGGCTTCTCTCTCCTGGTGAGAATACAAGGGGGCCAAGCACCCAGCAATTTGGAGATGGGACAGCCTGTGTGAGTGTGATCTGCAGCAGAGAGCAGCTCATTCCACTCCTGAACCCCAGCTCGGCTCGTTTCTTCCTCTGCCTGTGAGCACAGGCCTGGCTCTGGCTTTCCTTTCCTTTGCAGGTGCTGCTATCAAAGTCACAAACTTCCCAGATCCTTAGGAAATGCCAAGCAATTCCACCTTACTGCATCTGTGGGAGACCTGCAGGTTTGCCTCTGCTCAGAGCCATCTTCCAAGCCTTCCATAGTGGAGTGTTTAATGTTGTGTCTAAAAGGTACAGGAAAGTCAGTCCAGATTGTGAGAAAAGCCTGACAAGTGTCTTGCTGAGCCATGTGAATGTCCACGTACTCCCTTGGCTTTCAACAGCAGAAACCAGGTCCTGAAATAGACTGGATGAATGTAATCCATCATTTTCACAGGTCTATCTAAGCCACAGGACTCTTTGCAAAAATCTTTACAGAGAGGTCAGCCTGCTGCCAGAGCCAAACACTGCCTTGCAAAAGGTACAGTTCATGAAATTAGAAATTACATTGGCACACCTGCGGCACCGACACTCTTGGGAGAAACCAGCATGGTCTCCTTGTCCTGGAACAGCCATGTCAGGGCTCCTGCTTGCAACACAGACCTGAAGCATGCCCTCAGCTCATCACTGCCCACCTGAGGACCTGCTCCAGCAGCTCCAGGACAGCCAGGTGACAGGGATGTGACAGACCACCTGCAGAAGAAATGACAGCTGAGGACTTGTGGGAGCATTTGAGGTGGGAAACCAACACGTGAACCTGGATTACTCCACCTTTTCCTGGCTCCCCAGCATGCCTGGTGTGCAGTGAGGCAGCTGAAATGAGAGGAGACAGCTCTGACCTGGAGCAGCCAAGGAGCAGTGGGCACAGGGGAGGGTGCCAGGTCACAGCTCCTGGCACTGTGGGCAGTGCCCTCACCACAGAGTGCCCACAATGACCCAGGAGGCTGAACCCTTCAAGGGCAGGCACAAAGGGGCTTCTGCCATCCCCAGCAGCATCCCAAAGCCTGACACTCACAGCTTCAGGGAGAACAGACTAGTGATGGTCTCTGAGCAAAGGCATTGAAAGATTTCCATGCTCCTTGGACCAGGGATTAAATCCCACATTTTGTGCCCTGTGAGAAGCTGTCATTAGTACTCCGTGGTCTGATCCTCCACCAGCTCCTTCTTGTGTGTTACCCTTGCTCTTATCTTTATAATCCTCAGCTGCCAAGCTTCACCAGTTATAGTTTGAGATTGTGAGCCTTGCAAGGCTCAAAATTGCTTTAACTCTTTCTTCCCAACAGAAGGCTCACTTTAAGTTGCTCGTGTGACAGTGCTGATGGCATCCAACCTCTCCTAGAAGGCACACAGCCTCTCCTGCCAAGTTGGCTTGGCTCCTCCAGCACTTCCAGATTCCATTTCCACTCTCCCTGTGCTCTTAATTTCAGACCTACAGTCTTCCTTTCCCTCACTTTTCCAACCCTCCCAGCTGTCTCCACCCCAGACCTGCACCAGGGACAGCTCATGTCCCCTCCCAGCAGTGACAGAGGGTCCTGCCAGCCCCGTGGGGATGGCAGCAGGCAGAGCCAGAGAAATCCTGCCACCTTTGCTCCCTGCATCCCTGTCCTCTCTTGCTCAGGGTGGCAGGCAGTGCTGGTGCCACAGGGGGCTGAGCTCTCAGTCTCCATCTAATCAAACCCATGTTTTCTTTTCTATCACACAATCCTCTCAGGAGCTCATAACCTGGGAAGGGCTGCATTCCTTAGGCAGATGGGTTATTCCACTTGGAGAGGGTGGGGGAGGCAATAAAATTCCATTCTGCAGCAACAATTCTAATGCGGCAGGTTATTGGTAAAATATTTTTGGGTTTGTTTGGTTGTTTCCCAAACATCTTGAAGTGGTGGTTCAAGATGAAGTTATGTTCTGAAAGAGAGTATCATCCAAAGAATGCAAACAAAATGTTATTTTAAACCCCAGATGTCTGTTTTTCTTCATTCCAAATTTTTCATTTTGTCACCAAGCAGAAAAAAATAACCCACAGATTTTCACACAGCCTTATTCTGTGAAAGGTAAGATGTTAACAGGAGCAAGAAAATTCTGTGCAACTCACATTCTCACCTTTGTGCAATTGTTTCTAAAAGCACCCGGGACACATTAAATATATGAATGCTCACAGCACCTCAAACTAGGAATGCAATTAGTAATTGATTTATGTCTCCTGGTAGCAGGGCAAAAGCAACTTAAGCAGCAAATAAAAGCAGATTCTGTTCTCTAGCTTTGTTATCTGCTCTTCAAACACACTAGCAAGATCTAATTGCAGGGAATTTTAACCATCTTGTGTTCTTTAAAATAATCATTTTCTTACCATTTGTTACATGTAATTTCACTATGCTTTTGGTCCAGCCACATGGAGAGAGGATCCTGATGGCCCCAATACTGCTTTTATAGGGGATGACATCTTGCTTGGCTCTGCTTCTCATCCTCCTACTTTTTTGGTGAAAGTCCTGCCATGGAGGCATGTGCCTCAAATCCCTTTCAATATCTGGGTATGGACTTCTCCTTTTCCTCCCAAGGTCTGAGGTAATACCTAGAATTTAGCATCCATGAGAAAAAAAGAGAAGGTGCCACATCCAGCACAGGCTAACCTGACAACATTGTGTATTGTTAAAAGAATGGAAATGTTCTCACCACCCTTTTCCAAACCTGCTCCTAAAGCACCCACCGTGCTGCATAGATTTCGCCTGCACAAGCACACCCTCCTGAATAGCAGAGACTTAGTTACAGAAGGACAATTGCTGTGTGGATGTGATTTGAATTCCTTTGCTGCCAATCATCACAGGCAAAACAACAGGAACAGCATTTGCCTATTGACATCAGGGATTTTGCAGCATAATGCATAATTCAGTCGGCGAGGTGTGTGTGATATTTCCCTCCTGACGCTGCTAATTCTCACCAGCAAGACTCACCTTCTCACCCTGTGATTTGCTTTTAGCTGCTGCTTCCATCAGGCTGTCCATGAGGACACAAAGAACATATTAAAGAGCTTACAGTTAAATCAGATCCCTCAGAAACAGGGAGGGATTGGGGCTGTGCAACTCCCCCCACCCCAAACGTGCATTTCGTAAGAGGGAATGGTATTTATTAGGATTTTTTACATTTACTGCTCCCCATTAGGAACCTCTTTGGGTTTATTTGAAGCTGCTCAGCATTTTTTGGGTGGGGTGGGTTTAATTCCCAGCACAGCAGCAGGAGAACATGCTCTGCCAATGTAGTGGTGCCCCTTCCTAAAGCATTTGGTTGCTTACCAGGGAAGGATGTCTGTTCAGATGACCTGGGAGCCCACCCTGGTGTGAACTCCCCTAAAAGGAGAGTTCATTTCTCTCCTCTGCTGTGTTTGCCTAGCTCCAGAGATGAGCTATCAAAAGCGGTTTCTTTGCTGTGGAAGGAGGGAGAGGAGGAAAAGAGGAGGAGGAGGGA